ATGGAGGTGCTCTACGTGTTCTATTTCAGACCGCGGCAAGAGATACTTCAAAGGAGTGAACCAGCCCTTCTATTCTCTTTAGCCCTGGGAACAGACACCCTTAAGTCTATTTCAACACACGTAGCTTCCCTAGCCAATTGGTCAGCTCTTTCATTGCCCAAAATACCGCTATGTTTTTTGAAATTTGAATTCAGTTATTTTGATTAAACTATCTACGCAACAGTCTTCGCAGAAATGTGCAACTAATCGGATGCAATCTCTTGAACACGCATTACATCGTAATTTCTGATTCGATAGCCTTATAAAGTAATAAATTGATCTCCCGGTCAAATGACCGGTTGTAGTAGAAATAGGTATACGACAAGTATTATTCGAAACAAACAAAATGTATAAAAAAAATTACAGAGTATTAACTGTATATAAATTTTAGAAAACGTTATGAAGTCAAATGCGCAAAAGCGATAAGATGATAAGCACATTTTCGATACAAAAGTTCTTAAACGGTCATTTGACCTGTTATGGTATGTTTAGTGTTAAATGTAAAGTATAAGTCATTCAATCCATTGCTGAAACACATTAATAAATCCTTTACTGACTCAACTGTTAATTAGTTTAATTAATTAATTAATTTTTTGCATTTTATTTTTTTAAATTCTTATTTTAGGTCAGAAACTGAACAGGATATTCCTTAAAATATATATTCCTCAAATTTATAAATTCTGGCACTTTTTTAAAAATTTAAGTTCTGTCATTTTTCCTTGTTCATGTACTTAAAAAAAAATAAAAAAATAGCTGTTTTCTCAAGAAATCGTTCTTTTAAAGTACTATATAAGGATATTAAAATTTAAAATTTTAAACAGTTAAAGAGTCGATTGGAAGGTCACGTTAATCGATATTTTGAAGAAAAAAAACTGAAGTAACTGAACTTGAGCACATCGAATGGTCTGCTGTAAGTAAGAGAACCTTATTGTTTTAATCTCGTGAGTGGGGTAATTTTAATTTTTTAAAAGGAATTTCTGATAAGGTTCCTGATGTTTCTATGCATTTTAGAGCTTTTTTTTTAATTTTCTCTAACAAAATTTTTTATCTAGTTCTTTCATTAGTACCTTAAATTTCTAAAATTAATTTCCTTTAGTAAAGATAAGGGTTCCAATTATGTCAAGTTTAACATTGCTAATCTACAAGTTTCTGGTCGGTTTTAAAAAAATATAAAACTCGCTTAAAAATAACTACTATTTTTAATATAATGATCATGAATATAAAACCCATACTTTATCTTTGTAACAATTTCTTTGTTTGTTATTTAACAATTAATATCTTGTCGATAACCCAAAAGAAAAGATAGTAGTTCGGAGCGTTTACTTCTACGCTGAAAATAGGTTGAAAAAGCGTCATAGGCACAAAGCTTTTCCCTCTTCTGCCATAAACTTAATTGAACGCCTTTCTACGGAACTCCTTATAATAACTAATGAACACATACTATGAATTGGCATTCAATCATCTTATTACGCTAGCCGGACTATACTAAATAGGTTACAATACTGTATTAACCATTTCACGTGCAATCTCTTTTTTCCCCAACATGATTCATAATATTATCATGAAAAACTAAAAGCTTTTAGAATCTTTAAATCCTAAATATTTAATTTTGTTTACTGTTAAATTATCTTTTTTTTTCTTTTTTAATGAAAAGGGTTTTTCTTATAGAATGGCAAAACTGTAACTCGAATCTATCCCATTGAATCATAAAGTTTCTGCACTGATCATACGTTTTATTTGCCGGAGACATAAAAAAAAATGAAATTATCGAAAACATTTCCTTTGTTATAGTTCGTTTGAAAGATCATAGGTTTAAATTAATTATTTAAAGTATCCACACCCAGCTCGCACCGTGGTACTTACTTAAAATATCCTCAGTGGTAGACGGATCACGGGTTAGAGTACGCCTAACCGTGGGAGGTTTTCGTGGTTTTGCTCTTCCTGTAACGCAAATGCGGCTTAGTTCCATCAAGAAGTCCTCCGTGAATGCAAATTTCTCCCAATAGCTGAACGAGGAGTTGCTTTGTCTTCTGAATTGGATTCAAAATTACAAGGCTAATGCGTTGAACATCAGTAGTCTTAAACTCAGAATTGGATTAGCTGTTCAACGATAACAAGTTCAAGATAAAATCATTTAAAGTAGGCCGAAGATATGAAAATTTCACTTTAATTACCATAAATTGTATTCCAGTTAGCATATTACGTGCTTTTAATCCGATCAAAAACATTTATTTCTATTTCTGATAGTCAAGTTTAAAACCAAAAGCTTTATTTTCAAAAAGTAAGCAAAAAAAAAGTTTAGAAAAAGCAATTTTTTAAAACAGAGCAAGATATATCTATCAATACGTTGTTACAATTACAACTCTTAATACTAATTTTCAATTGTTTAAAGTTAACACGTACTTATCAAAATTTTAGTTAACAAAACATAGCTTGAAATTTAAATATTGTTCTGATTTAGCCCATTTTCAAGGAAACAAATGGAGTAAGTAGAGTCTTGTCGAGAATTATTTTAAAATTCATTTAAATTTTTTTAAAATGTCAATGCTTTAATTTAATAGACCTTTATCAAAAATAAATAACTTAATAAATTTAAATATTTTTCTTATTTTGCATTCCACCTATGTTAGACAAATTAAAATTGTACAATTTTTTTTTGTTTGTTTGTAATTTTGCAATTTTATCCTGTCTTTTTATATTGCTGATTTTATTACCTGTCTTTTGATTTCATTACCTCTCTTTTTATATTGTAGATTTTATCTGATTTTATTCTATTTCAGGGATGACATTTTTGTAATATATCGACTGTCATACATGTGGTACAGTGCAATTGGATCTTTAATAGTTATTGCTATTGGTTTGGTTGTGAGTTTCATAACAGGTGAGAAATATTCGAATATAATATGTCTGTAAATCATTCATTTTCTTTTAAATAGAAAAAAAAATCGACATCTTTAATTTTAAGAGCTATTATAATAGTTTTTAGAATTAAAGATTATTTAAATTCTTAATAGATTCGATAATAAATAAAGATTTTAAACTAATAGTGTATCAGAAAGTAACTAAAAGTAATATATTAGATTTAAACTTTCAGCAATCGAAAAAATCTCTCTTTAAGAATAAAAAATGATAATACTTATATAACTCTAAATAGTTAAAAAATTCTTTGTTTTACTTAAAAAATTTTACAACATTAAATTCAAGGCTTTGTAAACGTACTTAGCATTTTCTTTAAACTAGTTTTAGGATTTTTGAAAAACTTAATATATTAGAAAGCATAAAAAAGTAGTAAATACGGTTATATGCTGTGTTTAGTAATTGCTGATCTTCTATCTTTAATATGTGACTTTATTTTATCTAAAATGTTTCGTCAAAGAACAGTCATATAGGTTTACCAATTATGGTTCTCAAATTAATATTTAAGAAGAGGAGAAGGTTTAAGTCTGACAAATTATTATCAAGTTAATTTAAGCCTGAAATGGGATTAAAATTATTCGAAACAGTTTATTTTTCGGAAGAAACTGAAAGGTGTTCGTATTTTGTTATCTTTAATGTTTGTTGTAAAGTAATAATGTTTTATTACTTAAATTTTTTTAACATCTACTCATTTAAAAGATAAAGAATTTTGATTTTACCATTTCACGTGTATTCTTTCTGAAGGTACTACTCTGACCTCAGTCTAATTTTTTCGAGGTCATTTACTGCGCAGTGGTTATTATTAGGTTTTCAAATTCATCGATTAATTTATTTTTAATTAATGAATCATTTCTTTATTAATTTTAGGAGCTCATGATAAAGATGACATTAAACAAGATCTTATCAGTCCAATCACAAGAAAAGTTTTAGCTTTGTGTTCAAAGGTTAAACAAAATAAGGTATGTTTTAGTTGGTCTAGTAAAATGTATTCTTTTAACAAATTTTGATCTTACTTTTACAAATAATTGAATATCAAGAGGGAAGAACTGTTTATGCCCGAGAAAGCATGCTTCTGAGAAGAAGAAAAAATGAATTTCAGGACGGATAAGGACCGTTTTTGTCACGCCAGCCCATCTTCACTGTAAAATAACTCTCGGGGAGCACTGATTTTCACGCAATTTATTTGTCAAAACTTAGAAATACTCATAGTGCAACGGAAGAAAATCCACACATTTTTGTGAAAAATGGACATAAACTTATCTTCCTTTTGATCTTTAATTAAAATCAATTAATTTTTCCAAAAAGTTGAAGTAAACAATCACATTTATGTTTTTATTATTTTTCCTATGCAATCTAGTTCTTATACAAAAATATGCTGTTGCGAAAAGAAAATGTTAAATATTTTGTAAAAATTAAAAGTTTATGCAAAAATATAATTTTAAGAAATAAAATTTTGAATTTCCAGAGAATTTTTTTTATGATTAATAAATCAAGATATGGTATTTTCCTATCTCCTTAATTACTGGTAAATATGTTAATTGCTGTAGGAACCAATATGCTGTTTGAAAAAGCATTAACTAAATTTTGTTTTTGAAGGAAAATAAAAACAACAAATTCGTTCCTTTTTGTGAGGAAAAACAAAGCAGCTGAAATTCTTCCACGAATAAGACAGATTTGATGAAATAAAAATTCAATTTGGACTCAAAATGAGTCTTTAAAAAACTGAAACTTTGCTGTCATATTTTTATATATAAAATTTGAAAGTACAAACAATTAAACTCATTAAATTTAATTTCAATAGGAGATTTAAATATTTAAAGTTAATTGAGTAATATTCATTTGCCTTTAATTCTGGAATCTAGATAAATTAAAAGAAAATTAAAAATTTCGTTTTTTAAAGATTATAAAATGTGTTAACAAATTCATATAATTAATTTTTTTTTACTTACATTTTACCTATTTTTTCACAAATAATCTAATCAAATAATCACCATGATGAAATAAGACGACAAAGCTTTTAATGTTTTCCATAAAAATTATCAGTTATCATATGTTAAACAGAGTAAAATGACAAATTTATTTAAATATTTCAGATAAGGCAGCCTAAAAATATTTTATAGATAGTTTCAAATGAGAAGATTACTGAAACAATTTTGAGGGAATCAAAAAATTCCTGTACATTTTCTTGATTATAAAATTTTCTTAAGCATTTTTTTATGTGTAGCTATATGCATATTTTAAGCAACAAAAGTTTTGAAAATATTTTGACAATAGTTAATTACTTTCTGAAGTATCGTACTGTATTTTTTTGTATCTTTCTTGTATAAAAATACATAGCTGCGAACTCATTCGGTTTCTCCGGAAGATTTCCTTTTTGCATAAATAGTTATTACAAATATTTCTGCATTGAAATTTTGGCTTAATGAAATCAATTTAGTGTGATATTGACCATTTCAATACATTATTAATTTTAGTATGTGTAAAGGGCCTGATAATTTAACACGATTCTGCACTGTGACGTAATATCTCGCCAAATTTTATGTTGAACCCAGAAAATTGATTAAAAGAGAACTTTATTTCAAGTTAATACCAAATTCAGCTTTCATTTACAATTCAAAGGGCATAAATAAATCTAAACACCTATAATGGGAAAAGCTTGAACCAATCTCATTCGCACCATACGTGAATTATTTTAGCTTTCGAAAATACCATTGTTAGTGCACTTTGGTTTTTGCCAGAAATTTCTTTACAATCGACAATGAGTTGGCGTAAATTTGTTGCTGTCGTCCATGCTTCTAAAATTCCCAGAATCAAAAATTCGCGATTGAAATATGAATGTTTGTTTTAAGTTGTGTTTCAAGGTTATTTGCATTTTAATTTTTAAATCACTGTGAACTATATTAAGTAAGTTAATAATGTATAATTTTATCTGCTTTTGTCCTATGAAGCCTAGTTAGAATTATTCTTAATATTTCCTCTATGTTAAGCGTATGTTTAATTTACGAATAAAATTTTTTAAAAAAATTATGTATTTATGCATCTTAAATTAATGATTCCTGCTGTATATTGTAAAGTTAAAATAACTTGACGGACTCTTACGTGTACCTTATCTTACTATAATTTTAAATTTTAGTTAAACTAACATTAAAAATGGGGAAAGTTACTTTACACCAAGTAGTGTGAATGAACATTCTTAGTATTTCACTACACCAGGAAATATCCTTGTATCTTTGTGTAGTTGTAGAACACATAATGAAACACCATTTTAGGGTTAAGATGCACTAAAAAATGGGGGCCGTTTCTTTACACCAAGTAGTGTGAATGAGCATTCTTAGTGTTTCACTACACCAGGAACTATCGTTGTTTCGTTGTGTATTTGTAGTGGAACACTTAATAAACACCATTCAGTGTTAAGATACACTTAAACTTAGGGCAGTTACTTTACACCATGTAATATGAATGAACATTCTTAGTGTTTCACTACACCAGGAACTATCCTTGCTTCTTTGTGTAGTTGTTCTGGATCATTTAATGAAACTCGATTTTAATGTTAAGATACACTAAGAATGAGGGCAGTTACTTTACACCATGTAATATGAATGAACATTCTTTGTGTTTCACTACACCAGAAACTATCCTTGTTTCTTTTTGTAGTTGTTGTGGAGCACTTAATGAAACACCATTTTAGTGTTAAGATACACTAAAGATTTTTTCAGTGTAGGTGATGGCGAAATTTAAAAAAATTCCGCTTAGAGTAAGCAATGCAGTTTATCAATGTAATTTCACTATCAGCAAGAAAAGCTTTTTAGAAAGTGCAAGTATTGGCAGGTATGAAGATAAAAGAAATATTTTTTGAACTTTTCTAATAAGCTGTGCTTGTGTTACAATTTAAGTTAATATATAGTTATAAGTCATGAATATTATTGCATAATTAATATTTTTTTCTCTTTATTGGTATTATTCTGCTCAATTTGTTTTTGTAATGATCTTGTATGAACATTTACGGTTTCACCCTTTTAAACTTAAAATATGAAAATATGTTTACATAAATTTAAGCTATTACAAGTAGTTACTTTAATGTTTGAATATATTTCTCTTCCAGACGGTCTTTCCTGTTGAACTAGTAACAAATAATATTAAAGCTACAGGATTAAAGCCGGAAAGAAGTGATAAAGCTGTACAAAGTGATGGAGTTATTAATGTGGCGTATATCAACGATACTAATACCCCAGTGATGAAAAAATCTACTAAGATTTCGTCTTCAACTCATGCAGCAAGGCTTTAAAAACGTGATATAAGGATGTTGAAATTACATTATTAAACTAACGATGTAATAAAAGCCATTTTATTGCCTGGCTAATCGCTGAAAGCCTAAAAGTGAGAGAAAAAGTATTCATGAACATGCATAAACTGTTTTTTCTGCACAATCATGTGAATCATTAAAGTTAGCATTTGTAAAAATCATATTTCATTAACTTTTCATCATTTGTATGAGTTTTTAAGATTAATAATGCAGAATAATTTGTGGGAAGAAATGTATGATCATTTTTTGTTTATTCGTTATATATAGTAACAAACTTTGTGTTTTAAACCAATGTGAAAACTAATTTTTAATATATTGGTAATATCACTGTTAAAACTTTTAAGGAATATATAAAACACATTAAATTATTTTTCTTTTACAAAATGTTTAAATGTGTTTTTAAATTATAAAAAATAATCCTAAATTAGTGTAAAAAAATCTATTAAATGTGAAATTAAGTTCGAAAATCTGAATGATTTTTTTTTCAATTCTAGCGTTGTAAATTTGTAGTGTTCTCGTCAAATCGGAAAAGAATTATGATACTTTTAAAACTTTTAAATTTCATATATAATTCATATGAGGAGTTCCTTTTAAAGTTTTTATTAAGTTTAATTTTAATATTTCGTATTTAATTTTGATAATTTCATATTAATTAATTAAAAAACTCTTTTAAAACGAAATTTTTTTAAAATTATTTAATGTGTCAGTTAAGTTTTCAAAAAGTTAGAGATGCTTTTAATTGTTTAATATTCAATATATATTTTTTTATTGAGTTAAGGCTCTGAAATCACAGTGAATTCCATATGGATTGTCTATAAATATGTTTGCTTTTAATTTTTTTATATGTATGTTACATGTTTTGTTCGTATTGTACCATTGCATTGCTTTACAAGGATTATAGAAATTTTAAAAATTGTCAAATTGTAATTGATTTTCTCTATAAATTATGCAAATTAAAAATATTGCATATTTTTTGAATTTCCATGTTTACCCAATGCACCATGTTTACTCAATGCACCATATTACTCAAAATCGAATTTTGCAAAGAAATTTCCACATTTCAGACTGCTTTTTCTTATTTATAATCATAAATAATTGTCTTATTTAGTCTTCAAATTCTTTTCAATCATTTATTCAATATTTACCTTATTTGAACCTTTAACCTTTTAATATTGTTTTATATTAATGTTTTGCTTCCAGGTTTATGTTTTATGTTAAATGCAAGCAGTTATGTGTACGTTTTATGTTAAATGAGATATATATATATACAATACAAAGTGTACATTTAAAATAAAAGTACATACTTTATTTTTAATTTGATTTCATCTTTTAAATTCTCGTACATTTAAGAAACCATAATTCTGATCTTGAGTCGCCAGGGCTATGCGGGACGTTATATATCGCTAAAATGAAAATGAAAATTTAGAGTATCAAATTTAAATGAGTTTTGTTTTCATAACAAATATTCTACATTTTTTAAAAATTTTTAACATCGCAATAAAATCACATTTCTAAATGGATAAATGGAAATGGATATATTTAGAATTATTCTAATTTGTTTTCTTTATTTTTTTTCTAACCCCATACTAAATTATATTTAAAATCACATTCTTTTAAAAAATTTCTTGGGTGTCCTACAAGTACTGAGCGTAAGGCACGATGTCCAGTAGATCACCGAAGTCAAGTATTACTGGCTGAGGTCGGTGAGTTGGTGGGTGACCAATTTGATCAGTCAGCCAAAGGACTGGGGCTGCACGAAATCTGTTCTCGTTAAAAACTGTTCGACTGTAAAGTGCTCGACGTTTGGTTGTTCGGTGTACCAAAGTGGTGGAGCCATCCTAAATGCAGAACTTTATTAAAATGACATACATTTTCTGGCTTTTGTGCTCATTTTAGGTTTATAAGCCTTTTTCAAATAGGACAGATAGAACAATTCAGAGAAAGACATCCCGAAGAATATAGCCAGGGTTACAGCAGGATTCGAGCTCGCCACCTCCATCTAGCTGCAGAGGATCAAAATTCTGATGCCTTTGATTATTGGATTGTCTTCGGATTATCCAAGTTGAATTGTCTTTAGATTATCCTCAGTGATGTTTCCCTTCCCAGACGGTTACCAACAGCCAATCGTGAATCTCTAGTGCGACGTAAATAAAGTACTACTACATCTTCTTCGTCCCGGTAAAACATTGAAGTCAAGCATCACTGGCTGCGGTCTGTAAGCGGGTGGACGACGAAATTGATCAGCCTGTGTAGGGATCGAGGGTGGTCGGTATTGGTCCTCGTTGAACTGTTCTACCGTAAAGTGTCCGACTTCGTGCGCAGGTCGTCGGGCTACCAAAGCAGGGAAACCATCCCCTCTGCAGACGATCAAAATTGCGATGGTATGTCTTCGGATCATCTTCAGGGATGTTTCACAGACCCATTGTACAGCTCTAGTGCGACGTAAATAAATTACCTACCTACATATCTTCTTCTCATTCAAAGTCCCGCAGTGGACTGATCGCTAAGACACGGTTCCCAGAAGATCACGGAAGTCAAACATCACTGGCTACGGTCAGTGTGCTGGTGGGAGACCACTTGGATCAGTCTGCGTAGGGACCGAGGGTGTGCGGTATGGGTCCTTGTTAAACTGTTCTACTGTAAAGTGCTCGACTTCGCGTGCAGGTCGTTGGGCTACCGAAGCGGGGGTGCCATCCCCTCTGCAGAGGATAAAAATTGTGATGGCTTGTATTCTGATCATCCTTAGGGATGTTTCCATCCTCATTTCCCAGACCGTCGCCAATAGCCCATTGTGCTGCTCCAGTGCGACGTAAATTAACTACAACAACATCTTCTCATTCAAAAAATTAGCTGACTGATAAATTGTTTTGCGATTCCAATCATACGCATCCACCCTAATATTTTTTTTAAAAATCAATTAATATTACTACTAATTTTTTTTTAACTGCAGGCACTGAACTTATCTTTCTTCGCCATGGAAAGTGCCATTAGTGTTGCTCATTATGCTTTGCGTAGTGAGCACCTTGTGACCAAAGTCCTCTTTATCTTTCTAATTATTTAAAAAAAATATTTCTATTCTCAGAACAGAATTGGGAAGATAAAACAGTGACTTTTCAATTACCCGTTCAGAAAAATTCCTACTATACGAGAGTTGAACAGCTTAACTTACCTACATAAAATTTCAATTTCTTGTAACAAATTCCGAGTGTGTCCAAGTTTCTTCTAAAAAGTTCAATTTCTCTCAATAATACTTCTCCAGCATCGCCGTCAAAAGTATGCACATAAATTTTCAAGTTTTCTGCAAATTCAAAAAATTCTTTGCCAACCTTAAAAAAAAAGATATTTTACACAGTTTGTATTTCTATAGTTTAAATTTCTGTATTTACTTGAGCAATTGTATTTTACATTGCATCGATACTTTTATTCGTATTTTCCGAAAATAATTGAGCGATTGTTTAATAGCTAAAATTTGCACATAATGCTAAAGTATGCACATAAATTTTCAAGTTTTCTGCAAATTCAAGAAATTCTTCGCCAACCTGAAAAAAAAAGATATTTTACACAGTTTGTATTTCTATAGTTTAAATTTCTGTATTTACCTGAGCAATTGTATTTTACATTGCATCGATACTTTTATTCATATTTTTTGAAAATAATTGAGCGATTGTTTAATAGCTGGAATAATCGTTAAAAATTTGTTCCTTTTAAACTATATGAAATAGGGTAAGCTTAAAATTGTTTCAAACAAATGCTATTCCATAAGGCTGTGTCAACACTGTGACTAAATAAATTTTAGAACTGAGAACGCGTACACTAAATGGCAGTTACAGCTTGTTTCTGTTTACGAAAACTCTTCCTGCATTTGCTAACGAGGTACGTTTTAATTTTATCAAAATAGGAATGAAGGGAGAAAGAGAGAGAGCCTAAAATATTATTGAAAATTCGTAAAATTTAGAAGAAAATGATCAACTAGTGGTAGTTACAGCTTTCAAAAACAAGCTGCCTTTTTCGATTTAATACTGTAGAGTTTCGAGGTTAAAGGGACCGACAATGAATTACAAACGACGAATAGTGTTTTAAATATCCTATGCCAAAAAATGTAGTAATAAATTTGTAACTTGTAACAATTATTTTGGTTTTTATATGCTTAATCTAGCTTAAATATTTGTGGAAATATGAAAATTTTCATATATATACAAAAAAATGTTTTTTTGTCCTACGTTTTTTTGCTATAGTTTTAAAAATATTCATTAAAATAAAACATAATTTTTGGTGCAATTTAAAATTTATAACAAAATTATTGTTTCAAAATTAAAGAAAAATTTGTTTGAAACTGCGAAGATGTGAGTAATTAAAATATTCTTTTATACTGTGCATACGCAGAAATTTTTTTTACCTAATTCTGCAGGGAATAGTATTTAACAACCAATAAAAAAAGTCCGATTTGAATATCTTAAAAGCTCAAAAAGTTTTAAACAAATTTTAAAGTAGTTTTCGTACTCTTTAAAAGAAAGCTTAAAATGATAAGGGGTTTGCCACAAATCTCGTTTTTACTGTCGAACAAGATTTATTAAAAATGACAACGGCAATGTTGAGAATCGTCCCAATAAAAATATCTCTTCTTTCGCATGTTTTCTTTCCTTTTACAATAATAATATGTCAGTGTATGAACGTTTATTGTAAGGTATTATCCTTTGTTCTTTAATTTTCTCTTATGATAGACAATAATATTTGTAGAAAATCCCTTATTTTTAAATTTCGTTTAAAAAGTACAAAAACTACTTAGAAAATTGCTTGAATCTTTTTAAATTTTTAAGATATTTAAATCAAACTTTTTTCATTATATGCCAATCACGACTCACTACAAAATTAAGTAAAGAAATAGCTAAATTTTTTCCGCGCATGCGCAGTATAAAAGAAATACTTTAATTACTCATATCTTTCGCAGTTTTAAGCAAATTTTTCTCAAATTTTGAAACAATTATGTTATTAATTTTAAATTGCTCCAAAAATTTTATTTGATTTTATTGGATGTTTTTGAAGTTATAGAAAAAGAAAGTAAAGTAAAAAATTAGTTTTTTATAAACGTGTCCATATAAATACTTAAGCTAGATTTAAGAAATTTTGTGCAATTATTGCATATAATAATCAAAATAATTGTTACAAGTTACAAATTTATTGCTGGATTGTTTGGTATAGGGTGTTCAAAAACACTATTTTCCGTTTGTAAGTTATTGTCGGTTCCTCAAATCTCTAAAAACTAAACTTCATTGATAAATATGAGAAATCGCATGATCGAGACATTTCTGAAGTTATAAATGATTCTTTAAGTATTTCATTAGAAATATGCAGAAATGCTTTTTTTTTTCAATGGCAGGCACTGAATTTGAATCTTTGCCTATACTATGCCAGAATTGTTGCTCATTTCGCCAGTGGGCACCTGTGAACCAAAGTCATGGAGGCGAGCAACATTGCCCACGCCACACTGCCACAAACTCGTTTATAGGGTGGGCCACATTCACTCATCATACACACAACGGAGGACAGCACAAAGAGAGAGAGAAACATCCATGCCCAGAGCGGGATTCGAACCCGCAGCCTTTGGCTTCGCAGTCAGGCACGCTAATCCCCTCGGCCACCTGGCCGGCATATGCAGAAATGCATTTGTATAGAAGTGTTTCCATTATTTTGTTCACCCCCTGTATAATGCTGCAATAATTGTTTACAATTGTTAAAATTTGAATGCTAATTTTTACGTCTTTGCTTAGTGTAATAGGAAAATAAAGCTTTTCTATACTTGCATTTAAATCAGGAGACCACAGCTTAAATGAAAAAATGAAATTACAAGAAATAACTTTAAAAACTGTTAAACCAAATATTTTATCGCAGCAAATCGCTAACCTTTTTGGGGGATGTTATATTTCTTCAGTTAAAAGTTCTCCAACAAAGAGAGCTAAGGACACTGAAAATGGTGCAAAGCACATTTTTTTTATTGTCTTAAAGCACAAAAGAGGCAATCTAATTCCTCAGACTTGAATTCAAGAGATTTTTCTCCACTCTTTGGTACAAAGTATGGTACACAAAGGCTTGCGCCAAAATTCAAAAGACTTTGAAACCTGAAAACATTCTTATACAATGAACGTCAGAGTACATAAAAAAAAAGTGTGATACGTTAACAGTTAGCATGAAAGCCTAAAGTGGTCAAATTTAAAATTTATGATGGTGTTTTATATCGCCAAGTTACTTTTTGTTACCTTCTACTTACTTCTGTGGGTGTTGCTATTAGTCCCCAGTAGTGAGGCGTATAGAAATTCGCTGCGTAACTCATAATACACCAAGGATTTTTAGTATTTTCTCTTGTGTGCTGCTTTACTTCAATAAGCAGTGGAAGTGTCATACTATATTTCTGCTCTCTGATGTTAGCTCCTAATTAAAAAAAATCATACATATATTTTTTGAGATTTAAACATGGTGTATTGGAAACAATTTAAGCAAACGGACAACACCACGGCGAAAAGAAAAGGCAAGCTTAACAGAACGTTAATGCTGATAGTTCTAGGGATCCTGGTTAAGATCCTGGTTTAGATTTGGATAAAAGGGAAATGCTTACCGGTATATATGATAAATTTTAATAAATTATTCGCTTTAATCTATTTAGTTAGTATTAATAACGCCTTGTTACTTTTAATGATGACCGAATAATTACATTTCTGTCTGGTACCCGAACTGAACAACGTTTCACGAAAGTTTTGCATTCTGGGAACACGTGGAAAATTATCTATCTTAAAACAACATCAGTGTAGAATAGGAAATACCAGTCAATGGCCTGTAATTCAAGAGAAGAATATCAGACTAATGTACATCGGGAAAATGCCAGACGTGAAGGTTTATTCATTGTGAAAACAAGCTTTTTATCCTTTTTCAATCTTCAGTAAGTTCACTCTTCTGTCTCTAGCCGTTTTCTTCTAGAGATTTTTCTTCGCGATTTTAGCTAGCAATCCATAAAAAAGATGAGAAAGAAAAACTGTTGCATTTTATTTGAAATTTGTAAAAAAAAAATTAAAAATTTAACATTTTAAATTATGTTATAATACATGGAGGAGTGATTATGCAGCAAACAAAATTGCAAAATTTCCTATATGCCATATCATAACATATGCCAATTTTTTTTCCTATTGAATTCCTAGAATTTTGAAGCTTATTTCAACTATATTTGTTATGCTGATTTCAAATATGCTGTTTTCTTCTATCAGTAATATTTTTGGAGATTCACCCCAATTGAATTGCTAAAAATAAGTCGAATTAGGAGTTCTACAAAAGAAATAAAAAAGTGTCTGCAGTTGGAATTTTTAAAATAATTTCGATTTAATTTAGTATTCATAATTTCAAATACTGTAAATATTTTTTCCATTCTAATTTTAAAGCTTCAGCATCAATATACTGAATAACGTTTCTTAATTTCACAAATTATCAAGAAATCTTTGAAAAAAATTTAAAGAGTAAAATAATTTTTCTATTGAAATCAGCACACTAAAATGAAACTGAAATAGATTTCAAGCCTAAAGGCAACAAGCATATATTTTTCATGAGATTGTGAAAATTCCATGTCTTACAACTTAACTGCATTAAATCTTTAATAATAGAAATGATTGAGGAAAACTGCTTACAAACTTGAAATTTCGCTCTAGAGTCTAGACATAGTAGTCAAAATCTATTTGAAAAAATTACCGATATAAAAACGTTCGTTAGTTTGTGTAATTTTTAATGTGACCGCTTATCGTGTTTCAATGGTGACTAAAATTACTTGACGATTGAACTCATAAATATTGTAACAGAATTTGTTTTCCTAGAAATAAAAATTTAAATCTTTGTTTTGAATACTAATGTCTTTAAAAATTTAATTAACTGTTGGCGTAAAACATCAACGACTTTTCAGTAAATGTCATAACAATAATCTTTAATCTCGATTCCTAATCAGGAAAAATAAGTTTTCTTAAGATATCAATAACCACATTAAAAGGTAGATAAATAATCATCTTCCAAATCCGCTGGAATGCGGATGGATATCAGTAGGGGAGAGCTTTATACCATTTGACAATCGTACCGTCGGACGAACAGCATAGCCCTGCCATCAATTGATGATTAGCAAAACTAATCTGACATAGTTGTTCCTTAACCACAAACAAATAGTGTAGAGTATCTGGCAAACTTAAGGCTCGATTTGTGGTAGCTAGAAAATAAAAGGAAGACGTTTCATCGTAAAATAAAATATTTTTCTATTTTTCCTAATTGATTAGTGTTAAAAATTAAGATAGCGTATCGAACTTTTAATTGTGTTGTACTTAATCGTATGTTTAGTTAATCTGAACAGCTGTTGTAGTTGTAGTTCATTTACGTCGAACTAGAGCTGCACAATGGGCTATTGGCGACGGTCTGGGAAACATCCCTGAGGATGATCCGAAGACATGCCAACACAATTTTGATCCTCTGCAGAGGGGATGGCATTTCCGCTTCGGTAGTCCAACGACCTGCTCGCGACCTGCACTTTACGGTAGCACAGTTTAACGAAGACCAATACCGCACATCCTCGGTCCCTACGCAGACTGATCCAAGTGGTCACCCACCCGCACACTGACCGCAGCCAGTGATGCTTGACATCGGTGATCTGCTGGGAACCGTGTCTTAATGATCAGTCCACTGCGGGACGTTAATCTGAACAACTAACCACAAACTCTTTTACTTTTGTTGTTTTTTTTTCAATGTGTCGTACCTTGGGAATAAATTGTTAAAAAAGGAATGAATGGAATCTTGTACTTGTTAAAACAGGAACAAACTCATTCCTTTTAAGAAATGAGACTATATATGAAACAGGTGAAGAAGAAATAATGTGCAAATTGCCATCACCCTTAGCAACAGAATCTTCTGTGCGTCAGACGCAGTGAATTTCTGTGCATATGATAAGCAGTAGGAATTTCAGTTACTTTTTCATTTTTTATCTTTTGTTTTTTATTTTACGTTCATTAAATAACGTTTATTAGTTACATTTTGTTTATTTTTCATTTAGTACCAAGGTACAATACCCTGCATCCCAAGGTACAACTCTGCATCCCAAGGTACAATACCCTACAGCCCAAGGTACAATGCCCTGCGTCCCAAGGTACAACATCTTACATCTCCCAAGGTACAGCACCATGCACCCCAATAATTTTCAATTAACTTTAATTGATTTAAATTTAAATTGCTTATGGATTTTTTAAATGGTAAACAATAAGATATTTTTTTGCATTTCTACCATATTCTTTACCCAAGTAAAAACAAAAATATTTGTTTTGAAAATGTCCCTAGGTACATCGCTTTCCCCTAGTATTTAAAACTAAATCCTGGAAACTTTCAATTATTTTACCATATTTCAAATCTGCCAGAATACGAAAAAAAAATTTCCCTTCAATCTCTCTGTATTATATTTAAATTATATTTAAATTAAGCATCCTATTAAAGTTTTTAAAATGCAACTGCGGGATTTCTAATCTTCATTTAAGTAACAAATTTTCGTTTTAAAATAACCCAAACAGCCGTACTTAAATAATGTCACACTTTTTTTTCTAATAAATGAGCAGTGATGGTTCAGGGGATAGAGCGTTCGCCTCCCAATAAAGTGAACCGGGATTCGATCCCGGCGATGGCTGGTCGATAGAGTTCTGCATCCGGCTTGCACCGACCACAGTGTTGACGTGAAATATCCTCAGTGGTAGACTGATCATGTGTTAGAGTCCCCTTGCCACCAGGTTAAACGGTGGTAGGTTCTCGTGGTTTTCCTCTTCTTCTGGATTGGGTTCAAATTGCAAGGCTACGGCGTTGAACATTAGTAGTCGTAAACCCAAAACAATTGAGTCGGCTGTTCAACGACTGTTATAAAATAAAATTAAGAAAATAAATGATGTCACAATTTTTTAATAAATGCTGTCACACTTTTTCAATAAATGATGTCACATTTTTTAATAAATGATGTCACGCGTTTTTCTAATAAATGATATTACACTTTTTTTAGACATAATAAAAAATGACTCTGACCTTTAGTAAAATTTTCCATTATTTTCATTGAATCATCTAAAACAGCTTTAAAGTCGCACAGTCGGTGACTGATCAATTTTAAAAATTTAGCTGTTCTGTAGGACCTTTGTTGTATAAAGTATGCATGATCTTGGATTATATTGAACTCTGGACATGGAAGTCCTGCAAATAATCATTTATTAATTATTATAATATGTAAGAGCCATGTTTTCTTAAGAATTAGGTAGCTGCAATAGTAGATATTTCAAGAATTAATAGTACACAATCAAGAGCATATATTTATTAAGAAAAACAAAATATACAAATGCACAAATTCTCCAGAAATTTTCTTTTCCATTAATGCAAGCAATTATGTAACATTAAATTTTATTTTATTGGAGAAAATTATCAAACTAGTAAAACAGGAAAACGAAAATTTGATTACTTTCAACTTTCATTGCAATTTCTTAAAGTTGTGTGGAGAAATTGAAGTAAAAAATTTATTTTTCAGGGCGTGAACAGTTTTTCTGAGATTTTCTCGAAATGTTTGCGCAAATTTATCAAAAATTGTGAAAATTTGTCTGTATATACCCCAATAGGAAGACAGTTTCCAGGTATACAATAAAAATACACGCAAAAAAAAAATCCTTTTTTAAATCGCGATATTTATTTTAATATATTTAGAAATCATATTCATTCATTATTTTTATATCTTTGTTATTAATTACTAAAAATATTTAACTGATAACACTATTGCAAAAAAGGGTTTCTCAAGATTGAATAAAAATGTTTCAAAATAGCTTCAAAACAAATAATAGTCGAATTTGAAAACCACGTGTATTTAAAATTGAAAAGCGATATCAAGAACGTAATCAGACGCAGATCTAAAAAGTAAATGTTAAAATCTATCAAAATTTTGATCACACGTTTGTCATTGCCTAATTTATTTTCTGTCTTGTGTGCATCACATTGCGTTGCATCTGAGTAAAGTTTTCGGTCTATTCTCTAGGTTGTCCAGACCGTAACCCTGTCAAACCGTAACCTCAGGATTAATTAATTGAATTTAACATATCAGAACTTAGTTTTTCCCTATGTTTTACTAATTGAAGATATTTTTTGACTGAAAATAATTAAAGTAAGCCTTTTTATACATTTTATAACAATTTATCTTAATGTTAAAATTTTTCAATTCATTTATGATACTAATAATTTTTGATGAAAAATAAAGAGTAAATATGGATGAAATTATTAAAAGGAAAAAATTGCTCAATAAAAGAAAAATAGGTTCAATAAGTTTATATGTTTATTAAATAAATGACACTTTTGTCGTTTTTATGATTTTTAATGAAATGTATATAAACCTGGAAAAATTAGTTCAAAAATTTTAATTTTTTGTTTATACACTCTATAACAAAAAAATCGACGTACCAAGAAGGAGTTGTCCGATTGAAACGAAAATTGGTGGATAGAAAGACAATGTACAGAATAGTAAATGATTAAAATTTCAGAACAATTGAATAATTTATTGCAGAGTTACAGTAGCTAGCTAGTTCAATAAGGTGTTGACCCGCCTCTAGCCTGGATACAAGCTGCCACACGGCGTGGCATAGACCGATAAAGCTCCCGGATGGTCTCTTGCGGTATTTCCTGCCAAATTCGATCCAATTGTCGAACAAGGTCAACATTCCGTGCCAGATGCAATCGCCTTCCCATCATATCCCATACATGCTCGATGGGAGAGAGATCTGGTGATCTGGCAGGCCAAGGAAGAGTTTGACAAGCTTGCAGACAGTTCATAGCAACACGTGACGTATGTGATCTGGCATTGTCCTGCTGAAACACCAGCCCAGGGCGCTGCAAAAGGAACGGTAGCAAAACAGGAATGTCGTCGACGCACCGCTGTGCTGTAAGTGTACCTCTAATGACGACCAAAGGGGTCTGGCTGTCAAAGGAAATGGCACCCCAGACCATAATGCCTTGTTGAGGGCCGGTGTGGCGTGCAATAGTGTAGGCAGGATCCCCCCTCTGCCCTGTGCGTTTCCAAACACGTCTTCGATGATCGTCAGGACACAGTTGGAAACGGGATTCGTCGCTAAAGACTATGCGTCCCCAGTTGGCATCATTCCAGCCATATCTGTTCAAAACATTCATGCATACGAAATTTCAAAGCAATCGGATGATTGCTTCTTGGTGTGTCGATTTTTTTGTTATAGAGTGTACTTATAAGGGCATCAAAATTTTCGATGTTCACGATTATTTTCTGATAATTTATACATTTTCAAACAATTCTGAAGGTGTAAAAATAGTGAGCCTATTATTTATTACTATTTTTTTTTTATAAACGAAAGTTAAAGGTTTTAGAGATCAGCCCATCTATGTATGAGAGAGATCTTCTTTGGCAGTATTCGAACCAAGATCCTCCGGTTTCGTAGTAGGATGCTCTATTCCCCGTAATTCCGTAGTTGTACAGTACACCTAAGTACGAAAAAAAAGAAGGATGCTTCATATAGTAGCCGCTGCAATGACACATCATGATTTCCAATTTCAATGTTACAAAGGGTTGCAATTTGGGAAATATGGTTCCAATAGCTTAGTCAGGAGCATACATCAGAATGTTACTTATAAATAGTAACGAGTAAAAGTCCGAGTACTTTAAGCAAAAGTAACGTGAAAAAAATTTTGATTTGAAAAAGTAACGAGTAAAAAGTACAAGTACAAAACAAAAAAGTAACGGTTTTAAAGTACATTTCGTGGAAATTGAAAATTCAGAGTATCCGTAAATTTCATTGAAAAATATTTTCTCTTAATTGAAAATGCAAAAAAATTTTTTTTAACTGTATAAAAATTAGAAGGCAGGAAAATGTTACAAAGTTTATGGAAAAAGTGAAAGTTGAAACTGTACAGACACCAACAAAAATAAATATAATGAATAAATGAGTAAAAAATAAATAAGCAAATAAATAAATGTTTGCTTATAAAAAGGAGTTTTAAATTATAACCTACCAAACTTTTCAACTTTTTAAACCTATCAAATCTTCAGAAATTTTGTTTTTAGTTTCAGAATTTGTAGCAATAAATTAATTTGGTGAACAAATTCGATAACATTATACTTTTTGTTTAAAGAAAGAGATAAAAAATAAAAAATTGTGTTCATATATACATAACCCCTTGAAATTCATTAAATTAAAAATTATCTTCCGTTTTTATGAAAATTAAAAAAAAAAATTTTTTTTTGAATTTTAAACAATGACGATTTTCTAATTTGTTGTTTATTTTCTACAAATAAAAGATTGAGCCCAAAAATTTTAATTTTAAATTTATTCATATGATGAACTAAATGTTTACATTGTAAAATTCGAAAATGGGGAAAAAATAATTTAGAAATATTTTTTGAGAAATTATTTATTTTATTTATAAGAAAAAATAATTTCAAAAGAAATTTTCCGAGGAAAATTTTTTAAAAAATTCAGAAAAAGTAACGATTTTTTTTTGTTGACATTCTCGTCACTTTTGTTTTTAATACTTTTCCCGAAAAAAGTAACGAAAAAACTAGTAGAAGTACTTAATTTAAAAAGTAACGAAGAACAAGTAAAAGTACGTACTTTTAAATTTTACTTTCCTTACAAGTAAAGAAAGTAAAAATATAGTATTGTCATGCTTGGTCAGAAAATCGGTAATTTTAATTTCACTTATTTCGATGTTATCTTGAAAATTACAATTAATGTTATGATGTGTTATTTTCGCTGCTACTATATAAATTTTTCGAACTCTCCCTAATTTACGGTATACAACTATAGTGGATAGAGCATCCTACTATGCTCCCGGTGGTTAAATTTCTCCCTCCACATCGCTTTTGAAGCTATGCTTTTTACAAAAAAACGTAGTTATGCTGTTTTAATTTTGAATACACGGGGTTTTCAAAATCAACTATTTTTTCTTTCTTAGCTATTTTGACACATTTTTGATCAATTTTGAAAAAAACATTTTTTTTACAGTGATAGTGGCAAAACTTTTCTTGAAATACAGTCGAGTTACTGTCTTATTTTTATTTTATTGATTATATCAAAATTAATTTATTGATTATTCAAAGTTAATTTATTGATTCCATTACATAAAAATAATTTATTGCTTCTGTTGATTATATTAAAGTAAATTTTCAAATGTTTTCCTCGTTTTTCTTTTCAAGTTATTTACAATAATCAAGAGTGTTTGTAACTTGATATTCACTTTTAAGTTGGTTGCATAAATGCGTCTAATGAAATTTATTTCAAAGCTGTATCTAACCATTAAATATCTCATTTAATTCTAAAGGATAATATTTTGATGTTATATTATAAATTAGTTTAAAGTAGTTCTTTTTATTAGAAAATAGCTAATTCACTATTCTTAACGTGTGTTTCAATAACTGAATTTCAAATCAGCATTTAAAACCGAAGGTTGAAACGCTGACATTTCGAATTAACCAACTGTATTTTAAAGATTTAATGAAGCATTGTGCCACAAATGAGGAATAAAACTTCCTATGATTGTTCTTTTTTTCTCATCTTTAATAAGAAATAAACCGAAAAATTAAAACAAAGCTCAATCGAAGTAATATAAAAAATAATGGTTATTTTTTATCTTCAAAATTTTAATAAATTACATTGTATTAAATTCTTACATGTTCTTAAATTTAATCTCGACTCATATGACAAAATTTTAATTTAGGGGATACAATATCTACTTTCATAATACAATATGAATAATAACTTTTAAATACAATGTAACTCTCATAATATAATATGAATATAGTTCGCTCTCCAGGAGTTGGCACTTGATTCCACCTTCTCGGATTAAGAGTTCATTTGAGCTCGGGAGTAAGAGGAGAAAAGTCTCCGCGCTTGAAATTGAAACAACCCTTAATGCGCGCCAAACTCAAACAGTGAATTCTTTTTCAGTCACTTACTTCACTTTATCACCCGCTATTATACCTTTCGTTAATCTAGCCAATTAAATATATTGCAGCAAAATGCCTCAGAAAGGACAAACTATTAACTCGAAAGAGACAAATATCAAATTTATGAAATACTTAATGTGAAAAAAATGCTCATAAAGATTGCGAAATAAATGTTTTTGTCATACGATCGCCAAATAGCAACCTTGTTCAAGATTGTTCACATCCTTTTCCCAAAAATAGCGAAATAGTATTGTCAAATACCATACGTGATGAAGGCGGAGCCAAGGGCCAACTCCTGGTGAATGAACTATAATAACTATTAAATATAATGTCTAATCTCATACTTCTTAAATCTAAAGTTTCTACTTTCAAATATTTAATTACGAATAAAATTTCATGATGTTATTGTTTCTTTGGGTCATTTACCTGTTGTTCTAACTTTAAATTCAATTGCATGCGTGCAACGTACAATGTCTTAAGTAATCAATTGACATCAACTGACCATGTAATCAATTGACATCAATTGTACATGTAATCAATTGATACTTCTGAAGCAATGAACAGTTTTAAATATTTGGCAACTTCTTACCTTCACACAAAACTTGACTTATAACTTGAAATTCTTGATGAGGGGAGAGATAGAATGTTCGTGGATGAAGAGATGGCACTTTAAGTCTAAAAGTGTAAAAATAGGGAAAACACTCTGATGAAATGAGGAAAACACTATGGTTTTAATAATCAGTTCAGAAAACTAAAATTAAACAACAAAACATTTTTGAAATATGCGATACATACGATTCATTTTCGCGGATATCACTCGCTTTAACTAAGCAGTACTTTGCAGTAAATAAAAAATTTTTGAGATATTGAATTTTTAAGCTCATTTCATGAAAGAATTTAAAGTTATTTATCTTCAAAATACAATTTGAATTAAAATGATGCTTTGACTGAAAAGTTTAGTGAATAAAGTGATAAGCCACACTTTACATCAAACTGTTTCTTAGCATTGGTTTCAGGTAGGTATTTCACAGGTTTTGGGAGTTTCCACTAGGTAATGGCAAAATTCGTTAAAATTCTTTATTTTCAACTTAGAAATCATGATTTTTCACCCATACTATTCCAACAAGTGACAACAAAGAGTGTCATCATATTGCACCAAGACTTTCTCAGCTCAAGTATTAAACTGATGGAACCAGGAATTTTCCGGTAGTTAGAGAACCAGGAATTTATTTCTCTCTCTGAAGGTAATAAATCAGAGAGAGAAATTAAGTCCTGGTTAAGCGTAACACAGATAAAACAAGAGTGAAAAAGTATTCAATTTTTCAAAGAATAAACTCCCAGCATCATCATAAAATATAGAATTAAAATTGATTTCGCAATTATTTTTTTAAAGTTACTCTGATTGCATAATTTTATTAAAGAATATTTGATTTATTGAAATGATTCATTTGCCAAGAACTTACACAAATAATGTAAATTTTAAAAAGGAATGATATCAATAAAATTTTAAACTCTGTTTGCTAACAAGAGATAAAGGTTTAAAAATCCGAGAAAGTTTAGACTTAACAATGTTCAAGTTATTTGATATAATGAATTACTGTAAAAATATCGAGCTTTCTTTTTCGTGTATTGGTCTAAAAATTTAATTTAGTTAGTTTGTTTCAGTAATATGTACTTAAAAAATCTAAACCCACTTTTAATATACTTCATTTTTTATTTTATTTTGATAATTATATTAAACATTAAAAGTATAGCTTTTAAGAAATGTATGTATAAAATTTGCTTGTACTTATAAAATTTGCTTATATTATTATGGTATGATTTTTAAGCTAAAATGAGAGTTTATTAACCTAAATTAATTATAGAAATTGACTTCAAAATTCCCCGAAAAGAAATAACATTTAATAGGAAAACATAATTCTTAACTTTACGTAGCCCAATTCCTGTGATCTATAGGGTTCGGACCAATACAGTATGACACTTTTTTCAAATGTGATACTTTTAAATCAAACTGTTCCTTACTATTTTTTCTATATGGGTATTTTACAAGTTCCGGAGTTTTTATTAGATAGCAGCACAAACAGCAATATTTTCATTAGATAGCAGCACAGAAGCATCTTATTGCCGAGATGGAATTCATTGAGTTTTTTATAAAATAATAGCGAAAAAATGGAATAGAAGTAACACTTTTGAAATATGCTGTCAGAACCATTTTTAAAATGTGACTTATAATTATACTGCCCCACGACCTTTATTTTGGCTTAAAAAGAGTAATCCGATATAAATTTTTAACTTAACTGTTTTGTAACAATCCTGTATTCCCATAAAAAGTGTACATTAGATTTTAATGAGTTAAATGCTTAATCATTTAAAAATTATTTTAAAAAAAAACAATATCCACAATTTTTCATAACAATTGCTATTTTTTATGCTGAAAAGGGAATGTAATTATTAAAGTAAAATAAAATTCTTGCTCTACCAAGTAAACATCCTCCTAAATTTAAAAATAAACGTATATGTTCTGTTGTTTCTAATGACACTTGGATAAGCCAAGCTCACTAGTCATTTGCTTTTTACGAAATAAATCATGAGGGTCAACCTTTCACTTGACAAGAGAGCACCACAAAGGTTAAAGTATACCTTAGCTAAGAGCCTCAACGATAGATGGCAGAACCACTCTTTCCTAAGGCCACTTCCTAAATTTAGACACAGATCTGATGGGAAAGGAAATTTTTTCCAGATCCCTATAGCCATGTTACTAATCAGCCACCGATCACAGGAATTTCGATTCCACAGATTGTACAAGCACGTATATCGGATGAACTCGGTGGGTTTTGGAGAACATCCCTAAAAACTGGGCTACCACGGCCCTAAAATATGTTCTGACTATTATGAAGATGTAGCTTATCAATATATTGTTCCAATATTTTCAATTAAGTATATAAAGATAACTTAATATAAATAACTAATTAAAATGATTAATTAGAATTTTTTACACCTATAGAATGTCTATATTCGGTTTTAAGCAGTTCAATGTTTTTATCCTTCTATTTTACATTTAAAACATGCAGAATTATACATAATTTTTGTAGCTTTTGATACCAATAGCACTTAGAAGGGAATTTCAATTTCAATATGACGTTAATTATAAAAATAAAATTTGGTAAAGTAAAATATAAAAAAAATTATTAGATTTAAAAAATTTTTAAAATATGCTCACTTGGTCATTTAAAAAGTTTAGCTAATTATTATATTGTACCAGTATAAGTTACTAATTAAAATAATTGGCAACAGTTTTATAATCTAATAAAAATATTGTCGAAATATAAGCGACTTACTAAAATAATTAATAACAATTTTGTATTCCAATAAAATAAAATTCTTATTTTTTTGAAGAATATATCCGTTTGAATTAAAAGAAAGCCTTAATTAATTAAAGAAAGCCTCTCTTGACTATTTTAAAACTGTATCTTATCATTATGTTGCCCTAATATGAGTAACTAACCAAAAAAATTGGAAACAATTTTGCGTTAGAATAGAATATCTGCATTAGATTTTAAACAGTTCTAGAAATTATTTCATATCATCTAGAAGTTATTTTTTAAATGCATGCATAATTGTCAACAGTTGAAAAGACAATTGCTACTATTAATAGTACTTTAAATTTAATCCATCTTAACGGTAATTATAAAAATAAAATTTTATGAAGCAAAACTTTTGCTCTTCTAAGAAAAAATCAGCCTCAGTTGAGAAAAAGAAACAGAAAAAAAAAACGTTTTTAAAATAAGATTTTTTGATCATTTCAAAACATAGCTTATCATTTGTGTTAAATATAAGTAACTAACTAAAATAATTTGAAACAATTTCGTATTAAAATAGAATATGTGTATTAAATTTAAAACAGTTCTATATTTATCATCTAGAAATTATTTATTAAATGCATGCATAATTGTCAGAAATGATTCAAATTTAATGTACCTTAACATAACGGTAATTATAAAAATAAAATTAGATAAAATAAATTCTTACTCCTCAAAGAATACATCCGCTTTAATTGAATTAATCATCAATAAAAACAGTGGCAACATTTCCCAAACTATTATCAATGATGGAAATAGTAAAGTCGATTCAAAACTTAAAGAATTGTTAGATTTTTACACTTACTGAAGTTAGTATCATTTCTACTCATATTTTCCTTGTGATATCAGTTTCCTGTTTTCTGGGAATTTCCTGTCAGTGTAGTAACAATTTGTATACTTCACGATTAAGAAGAATTTCAAAAGAAATTACGCTATGGATATTACGATTATTATGATACATTTAAAGGTTATCTCATAGTTTAACTAACTTAGCATAGTTGTTTACATTAGTTTTTTTTTAGCTCTCCTAACAAAATAAATTTCATAAACAAATGATAACCTTAGTTAAGTGACAGGATGAATGTAAGATTTTGATATCAGAATGGGTTTTTCTTTTCTTTTGTAAAAATAAATAACGACTTTCGTATTCTTGTTTTTTAAATGTTTGTTTGAAAACGTTTTCCTCTAAAGCTTTTTACAGTTGTAAAAATAATAGAGCTAATGTTAAGAAAATTTATTTACCTTTCTTTGTACCGTGTTTTTATTGCTGGAAGGGCTGTGAAATTTTGTTTAAAAAAGCTTTTCTTTAAAGCTTCTTTATTAATAATAAAGTATATTTTGCTTCATTATTATTTAAGACTTTGTTAATAAATTCTGAATTAATAATATCGATGTCACGGTGAAAGACCGAAATCGGTGGTTGTTGACTTTCACCGGTGAATGTCGACAAACACCAAATACGTCGGTGAAAGATCGAATATTTCATTACATTCTTGTATGTACATTCGGACCCTAACCGGTGTATGTCGACAATCGCAGATATGCTTTGGTGAATGTCCGAAATATTTATTGCATTCGATTTGATATGAATTTATTCGTGGATATAATTACATTTATTCGATATTTTAACCCTACACTGATGTTTTTTTAAGGTTAAGTGCCACTGCCCGGTATACATTTGCCCGGTACACCCTACACTGATGTTTTTTTAAGATCAAGTGCCATTGTCCGGTATATATTTGCCCGATACTCCAAACACTGACGTTTCTTCTAATATATCGTCAGTAAGTATTAAAATATAGAATAAATATAAATATATCAAATAAATATAATAATATTAACGAATAAATTAATATAAAATTGGATACAACAAATATTTCGGACATTCACCAAAGCGACTATGTGATTGTTGACATTCACCGGTGAGAGTCATAAATAAGGTTATTTAGCAAATATTTCGGACATGCACCAAGCGACTACGTGAATGTTGACATTCACCGGTGAATGTCGACATTCTCCAGATTATTGAGAAAAAAAAATAAAAATTCATTATCTTTTCAACTAACTTTATTTCAAGTTTTCATGTTTGTACAAAACTGAAGATTTGAAGTTCAAAATGTCGGAAGAAAATTTTGAACTAAAAAACTCTTAATGATCTAACATCCAATATCAGTGCACTCTCGAAAATTCGGTTCAAGGTTGATCCATTTTTTATTTTGTTTTAAACCATAACATGTTGCACATTTGTTTCAACCTTAATAAGATATAGAATTGAAACAAATTTCCGTCCCGGTTTAAACATAATTTTATGTAAACATGTGTACTACTGATTGAAATGCAAAATAATATGGTTTACTTGATGCCTAACAGTAGTTGCAACACATTTTTGAGATATTATGGTTCATGTTATTGTTGTTGTTTTTAATGACACTTGGACAAGTCATGTCCACCAGTCATTGGCCTTTTGGGAATTAAGTCAGGATGGTGAGCCTTTCGTTTGACAAAAGAGCACCGCAAGGATGAAAATGCGTCTTAGCTCAAAACTCCACGGATAGATAGTAGCACCACTCAACCACTCATTTGTGGGGCCATTTTCTCAGTTTAGATATAGATCAGAAGAGGAAGGAAATTTTCTCCTGATCCCTGTACCCAAGGTAGTGTTCAACGACCGACCACAAAATTTTTGATTCCTCAGAATTTGCAAGCACGTGCATCGTGTGTACACGGTGAGTCTTAACAGAGTCGAGGATCGAAACTCCGGACCAGAGTCCGATTTTCTAACCACTGGGCTACCACAGCTTGATTATAATTTATAAAGCACCAAACCTTTAATCAGTGTAACAACCCAAAAAGACATTTACCAAAGTGTTATTATATGCAAATAATATGTGGAAAATATTAAAGCAAGTATGCTTGGATAAACTTATAATTTATTTGTTGTTGTAGTTAATTTACGTCGCACTAAAGTTGCACAATGGGCTATTGGCGACGATCTGGGAAACATCCTTGAAGATGATCCGAAGACATACCATCAAAATTTTGATCCGCTGCTGAGGGGATGACACCCCCGCTTCGTTAGCCCGACGACCTGCACGCGAAGTCGATCACTTTACGGTAGAACAGTTTAACGAAGACCAATACCACTCACCCTCGGTCCCTACTCAGATTAATCCAAGTGGTCACCCACCCGCAGTGATGCTTGACTTCGGTGATTTGCTGGGAACTGTATCTTGATCAGATCACTGCGATAGATTAGTAAGATCAGTCCACTGCGGGACACTTATAATTTATAGATGTATTCATCAATTTCATATGATAGAAACATTTAGCCCTTAGACTTTTAAGAAAACTAAGTGCTAATTGTTTCTGGAAAAATAAGTGAAAATGCTTGAAAAATCTATTTTTTCAAGTTAAAAAATTTTGATAAAATTTTTTTTTTGTCTAAAAGTATAAACAATCAGAAATTAAAAAAGCATACGCTCTTTAATAAAATCATTGTTACAGACTTAGCTTTAAAAATATCTCCATAAAAATAAAATATAGATAACTAACTGTTGATATATCAGTAGTTTTGGGTTTCGTTTCACAAAACTAATGAAATAATAATCTGAAGATTAGATCATTGCACAATAATACCATTAATTTCTTAAAGAAAGGTAAAATTAGAAACCCCAAAACCACAACAAACTTTGTTTGCTTATTTGATGCTGTCATTTTAAAATCATCAGCAATAAAATGTGCAATTTTTAACAAAGGAATCAGTGGAGTAGAAACAAAACATTCGAAAAGAATTAATCCCGTTAAAGTGTTAATGTCCTTGCCCAAGAAGCTGTGACAAAGATAATTTTCTTTTGCGTTGTACCACATCGCGATTATGTGTTTGGGTTATGTCACTTTCCAGGAAGAGCGTCGAAAACTGTGGTATAAATAAATAACAAAAATAGTCTTTGTTACTTAAGAGCTTGAAGGGCAAGGTCCAATTGCATTACTATAATCAACCACGCGTAGCCATCTTATATTTTATCAATTTCTAAGTTACAATGCTCTTTCAAGGGAAAAATCTTGAGAATTTAATTCATTATAGAAAGATTGGTATGGATATATGAAGTTTTTGGGTATATGAAGGTCTATTTGACTGTAAGTAAACAGATCATTATCTTTGATATAGATTTGATTTGGTTTAAAATTAGTTAAAGTTAGATTTAGACTTGGAAATTGCTAGCGTAATAATGGAAATGAACAGGGATTTCATGGAAATTTCGGTATACTGAAATCTTGTTAAGAAATTCTGTTTTGTTTAAAGCAAAACGTTCGAGTTTTGCTTGAAAGATGGCGTGTATTTGATAGTCTCATTGAAAAATTTTTAAACTGAAAAATAACATTGATGCCTGGAACAATAATACGATACGAATTAGTTGCAAATTTAATAAAGTTTCAAGCTGAACAATGTTTTCGTTCAAGTTGTAACATAGTATAGTGCAATCCAGTTTAAGAAGTACAAAAATTTCGTTCCACATCGCATCTATTCAGTCTTTATCATTTTGAGCGATATAATGGCTTAACACGCTCTAAAATTTCAAATAGAGTAAATTTAGTTTTCCATAAACTAACATTTATTTGTAACTATTATTTTTTTTTTTAGAAAAGTTAATATGATTTATTTTGTAAAAAATATTTTTTAATTCTATTTTCCACCCAATAAGTTAGTTTGATAAATCAAACCATAAATTATTGTTGGTAAATCAGAAAATACCAAAAATTTTGATAAATCTGATCATAATTATTTTTAAATTATGTAGATTTTAAGTAAGAGATTGTGTATCTTATAACGCAATGGAGCTTAAGAAGTGTTGATGCATAAGAATTTTAAAATATGAGGTATTTGTTGATATGACAGCTGCTGTGAAAATAACTCTTAACAAAATGATATAGATCTGAATATAGTTCTTCTTAATAACTCTTAACAATTTCTTTTTAAATTACAAAATAACACTAATAGTTACTTATTTGTTATTTACTCATAGAACTAAACCATTATTTACAAGAACACATTAACCAGACAAACGAATTTCAAAAATTCGACGCTGAAAAACATTTAAGATTAAAAAAAAGCAATTAAATTTTTTTTTAAAATTTTGCAACCAATTTATGTGACAGGGCATAATTCTTTCCTTCGAGAACTAATGCTTTTGTTCAGACATTTTCCGACAGATGGCAATGTAAATAAAATGACATTGCATTTTTTTTAAGAATAGAAATCAAATTACAATATTCACGAAATGTGCACTACCTACCGCAATTACTTGCTGTTATCGGAGAACCAAATAATCAAACAAAACGAGAAAAAAAGAGAAGCATTTGAGGAGCTGTCTTTCAAAAAATTTTGGAACAAAAATCAAGTACTCCAAGGGAAATTTTATGGCCTGTTTCATGATTTTCTGTAAGAATCGTTTTTTTTTCTTTTCTGAAAGTTTTTGATAACCGTTCATGCTGTTGTTGTTGCTGTTCATTTACGTCACACTGGAGCTGCATAATGGGCTATTGGCGACGGTCTAGGAAACATCCCTGAGGATGATCCGAAGACATGCCATCACAATTTTGATCCTCTGCAGAAGGGATGGCACCCCCGCTTCGGTAGCCCGACGATCTGTACGCAATGTCGAGCACTTTACGGTAGAACAGTTTAACGAGGACCAATACCGCACACACTCGGTCCCTACGCAGACTAATCCAAGTGGTCACCCACCCGCACACTGACCGCAGCCAGTAATGCTTGACTTTGGTGATCTGCTGGGAACCGTGTCTTAACGATCAGTCCACTGCGGGAC